CCTCTCTGTGGACCTTCTCAACCTGCAGCCTCTGTTGCAATGCTATGTGCTGGTGTTGTGGGAAGAAGGTAAGCGCTACACAAAGCACCTTTGGCAATGCACTGTTTTTAAAAAAGCTTTTGGGGGCAGAGTATCTTCCCAAATCTAATTATGTAAAGCAAAGCATGTTCTAGGTACCGTGTTGCCAAAGCTGCGGCTCAGTCAGTGAGCAATTGCACGCCTACACTCAATTGTCTGGCCACTGATTCATACCAGTAGTAAGGTGGATCTCTCATACACCTTCACAACTATGCACTTGCTGGGGCAGTTGTAGTGTTAACCTGTCTCACGTATTTAAGAGAGGTTGCAATTTGGGTTTTTTGCCTTCTCCACATGCTCAGAAAGATGTAAAGTGTAACACAAATGGCACATGAGTGGTGTCAGCCCCTGATCTATTAAAACAGAATCAGCAACCATTTGCTTTTCTGACTGGATAACTTGCCGTGGCGTGGGCGGTTGCATCAGACAAACACGTCTGATGTCCTCTGTGGTCATAATCTAGACTTACTCTAAACCTGTTTAGAATTAATTTGAAGATGTTCCAAAACATTATTTGATGCATTTTGCAATACACAGATAGGAGACTGCATCTGAGGAAAATGAAGAATGGAAGTAGTACCTATAGATAGGTACAGCCTTCCAGAACTGAAGCAAGAGAACTAAACACTGAATGGAATGTAATGGAAACCACTCTGCACAAAAGAAGTATCTTCATGTCCTAATTACTGTCCTGTGGAAACCGATTCTGCCAGTTCCTCTGTGAGCCATCTAGCCCTCTCTTTGCCTGCTGGGGAAAAAGGTGCAGAACTTCTATATTTCTTTACTAATTCAGACCTAAACACGTTTTGCGCTTTGGTTGTTTTTTGTTGGGGTTTTTGTTGTTTGTTTGTTTCTTTCTTTCTTTGTTTTTTAACAAGTACTACTCTATTGCTAAGCAGCCTCATGCTTTACTTTTTCTTCCGCTAAACCTGCTGCCAGCTGAGGGCTGGGTGCGAGGGATGTGGCTTAATATTAAATGCAGAAGAAGTGGTATCCTAAACAACCTTGTATGCTGGGGGCCAGAGTCCTTTCACTCTCTTTTCAGCTTTCAGAGCAAAGTGGCATCATTTGTGAGATAATACTACATTTTAAGCCAGTTAAACCTGAGTTTCTAGAGATTACGCTAGAACTAGATGTTTGTATTATTTTGGATTGTTACATAAACATTCCAGAGAATGCAACTTAGTTTTCCCACTGTAGTTTTACTCTGCAAAATTTGCCTTTTCTCTAATAAATTGTTTGCACATGTTCACTTCTCTCTTTGAAAATCTGGTTTTGTGGAAATACCAAATTTGGCTTTTAAATTTTTCCACTGACTCCCTTCCTCTTAAGGGAACAATTCATCCTCCTCTTTCTGCCAAAATGCACTGATTGGTAGCAGTGCTGAATTTTTTTAGTGTACCTTTTTTGTTACAGCCATAGCTTTGCAGCCAGATTTATAAAACTATTAGGATAGTGACACATTCTTATTTTTAATGGGAAAATAAAACAAGCTAAGGCTGAAGTTTTATGGATCACCAGATTAAACAGCCAAACTTTTAAAATGAGAAAGTTCAATTCACCCTAAAACTGCCTACACTCACCGCCAATGCAAGTTTTTATTATCTATCACCTTCTTCATCCCTATGAAAATAGTGTCTTCGGAGCCCGCTGGCAGAGATCATTCTTAGAAAATGATCATCATGTTGTTGGTATTTCTTCAGAACTGGGCTGACGTTTCAAACAATCCATCCCGTTTTCTGGAACAAGCAGACCACACCATTTTCCAAAATTAATCCAAAGACGACGGCCAACCAAGGGAGCATTCGGTTCAAGTTCAATGTAACTGCAAAAGAAAATAGAACAAATTTATCACTTACCATTTAGGAATATCATAGAAACCAGGTGAGAATTCATATTAATTTGTATGTATAAGAAATCACACAAATCTGTTAAAAGCCTGCATTCCAAAATCATGCATAAAATTAATACAAAATTTTCATTTTCCAGGCAGGCAAAGAATTCTATTTTATGCTTCAATGATCCATGATGAGTTGTCTCAAATTTTAACTGATGGATCTAATGATATAATACAGCATATGTCACCATCATCTCTTTGTATAAGAGGTGGGTTTTTTCTGTTTTTTCTTTTTTTTTTTTTTTTTTAAGTGTTTTGTTTCATTCACTTTTTATTAATAGCTAGAGCTATTTCAGTGACACGTTTCATAAAGACTAAAAAATATAACAAAATGACTTCTGTAGCAGCTGCATTTTCTCCCACACAGTCTATACATACAATGTGGTAATAAAAAAGTTAAAACATACCTCTAATTGCCTGAGAATTTGATATCAAGACAAACACTTTTATAAATGCAAGGCACAAAGGCGTGTAGTCATGCTCCCAAATAACAGCTGGAATTAGCAAAAGCTTTCCATAGCTGGACAACAACAGTGCTTTGAGAAGTAAAATGAAGTCAGACTTTGTTTTCAGCATCTCAGGTCTCATCCACCATAAGGTAATAAAAATGCCAAACAAAAATGAAGTTTGTTCTAAGAGGAAATAAGAAGAGTTGGAAAAAGAGAATGAAGCACCAAAATCAAGTCCTTTTTGGATGAATTTCAGTGAAATGACATGTCCCAAATGCAACCAAGCCACTGCTATTTGAAAGACAAACACAAATATGAACATGTCCTCCACCTCCTGTGTTCATTTTAATAGGCAAATATTACTATTACTTACTTAAACTAACTCAGTATCCTGAAATTGAGAATAATTCTACCACAGAATTCTATTTGTAGGGTTGTTATACATGTAATTTCTGACACCAAACAGCACAGGAAGTCTAGCATAAGAACCTCTTTACTTTCTAACAAAAGGAGAGGGTTTTTTCAATTGTCTGTTAGCCTGTAAAACAAAATCAGTACTTTGTCTTCTTTGAAAAGGTCACCATCAACGAATCCTTTCCATCCAGCAAAAGAACACTAAGGTGAAAATATCATTGAGCTATTAGACTTTTTTTGACACCGCATCCCTGTGTAACACTGGAATTAAAGCAGATGTCAAAGCAACTCTCACAAAAACTGTAATAGATGAAGTACTACTGAAAAAATTAGTTCCAACATGTTTTCTACACCCACTAGAAAACTGACATGTTATGAAGACTTACTTAGAGCAACATCAGACAATAAATTACTTCAGTTCAACTCTGAATGTCTAAGGGAAATACTAGTTTTAATCTGTGGGCTTGATTTAAACACTATCACCAGAAAAAGTATGAGAATAAAAGTATTAACCGAAGCAAAACAAACCTCCTCCCCTACTTTCAAATGTAGTCTAAGAGCACAGAAGTATCTACTCTTTGCCAGTGATGACACTGCTCTGTATTTTTGCGTATTCATTTAAAAAAAACCCCACCAGATCAGCTTTTCCCAATTGTTGTTTACTTCTGTAAGGATCATCCTCAATGTTTTATCACCTTAATGAATAATAAACCTTGACACATGGAATAATGCTGAGCTCTACATTGGTCTTCAAGTGGATTCAGATGAAGATTTCTGCATATTGTAACTTTTCACTGTTTTGGTATCTAATACTGATCATTATCAGTCTGAACTCTAATCAGGACCAAAATGAAGGCAAATTAGAGTATATGTATAATCATTTAAACATACTGGCTTGGACATGACATCCATTCTGTATTAATTTTTGCACTATGGGCTTGTTGAAAGACTCATCAAGTTATTCAATGCTTACAGAGTAGATAGTGACATGAACTAATCATCGATCTTACCTAAAGAAGCTATACCAAACATTCTATAAAAATCCCATTCCTTGGCATATCTGATTAAGTCATCAGGATCTATATTTTGGCTTGAATCCTGTAGTTGCAACCACCTGAGATAAGCTTCACAGAGTAAACAAAATATGCAGAGCTTCCCATGAATCTGGTAAAAAAGAATAATAAAAGCATTAGTATTAAATCAGTATAAATTAAAGCATTAGTATGAAAATGGTATTTAAAATACATTTCAACATCTCTACACAAACAAGCTCTGTAGGTTTATTATTTTTGTTTAGAAATATAAGCGAATTACTTCTGTTGAGCCACTAGTTTAGCACATTGTCCTTTCACCATCAGTTGACACGACAGGCAAATTACTTGCAGAAAACTGCATAAACAGTTCCATACAGAAGAAGGAATATAAATGTTTTTTAAAGCCTGCTCTATACTTTTTTTAAAATTAGGAAGGCCGTTTTAGTTAGGAATATAAAAACAAAATTGTGCTGTAGCTAGTAGAACTATACTATCAAAATTTCAGTTTAAGGGCAACTACTTCATTCAGTCAACTGCTTTAAATAGCCTCATTTCTCTTCCTTCCTCTGGGACCATCTCCATTAGAAGAAACTGGCAGCATAGTTGTATCGAAAACATTTCTTAGTTCAGATAAGGGTGAGGAACCAAAAATAAATGGAGCAACATAACCAAACAAAACTTAAAAATACTTTCTGAAGTGACCGCAAAGATGATGTTGCGAAGGCCCACAGTTAGCGTGTTTCCACGTTAAAGAGTCTATAAGCCAGCGCGTATGTGGGGTGAATTCTGATTTTATACAGATTTAAATATACGAATGCAATTTCTGTGTGTGGCTTCTACTTTCTCCATTAGAGACTAGTTATGCCAATTGCATATACATGCACAGGCTAAGCTAGTTTAAAATTCAACTCAATTTATTTGAATAGACGAAATTTCCTCAGACGGAATAGTTCTTCCAGAAGCCTCAAGGAAAATATCATTACTAGACTCCAGAAGCATTGAATTAATTAAAAATCTTTAGTCATATTTATGCTTGAAAGACGAGGCAAGTGCATTTAGCTACACTGCTTAACACTGGACTGACCAAGAGGTACTAAGATGAACACAGCACACACTTATGCTTGGATAGTTCGCTCTGGATCAGCTTCGTTCTCCTGGGAAATCAGTCCTTAAAGTAAAAACACGGAATTTTGTCAGAAGCTGCACCTCTACACTCCAGCCTGGCCAGCATAACTAAGTTTACAACGTAATTGCATCAACAATGTTTCCTTCATGTGAAAGCCACTATCTTTCGCTATAGTTTTGAGGGCGTGATTAATTACTCAGGAAGAAAATGATGAGAAATTAGTACAGTAGGTTTAATTGGCATAGTATTGTTAACATGGTATGTTACACTAATATAGATCATTTCAGAAAGAATTGTTTCCAACAGAAATTTATTTTGAAAATTAATTTGAAATTAGATCTTTCTCTTCCAATGTAGTTTAGCACATCGTCCTTGTAACATCAATTAACATGAGAGGCAAATTAGAGGATGTAGAAAACAGCATGAACAGTTCCATACAGTTCCCTCTCTTCTCTTTAACATGTAAAATGATTGCTCTATTTGCTGGTGTTGTGGCCTCACTACTGTGGAGACAGTAACTTTCTTAGTAACAGCTCAAGTTTGAGATTTCATGTGTTCTATTCATGATATAACTGGTTCAGCTTGCTGGAGCCTGAGGAAGGGCAGGAGAAGAACAGTCTCTAAAATTTTACAACTGTTACAATCAACTTACCAAATCTAAATATATCTTTAACCAAAAAAGTCACAAGGTATGGACATACCAACTTACATTTATCTTTGTATTGAAAAGAATGTGCCTGTACGCCTGTGCTTTACATAAAACAGCATTAATCAAGATGATAACGGGATCATACTCAATGTATTTGTCCACAGGTTTCTGGCAGGATTTCTGAAAGTCACAAAATAAGAAGAATTAGGGGGGGTGGGTGGGGAAGGAAGGCAAGAGTTTATGAAATGTTCCTATAATCTTAGCACAACTGCATAAATCCAAACTAGTTATTCAATTCTTAGTCTTTCCTTAATATAATCTTAATTTCCAATAGGTTTTTAATCCATCCAGAAAACCTGCTTCACCTCCCTTGACACGATAGTTGACACATAGACTTCCCTTACAAAACATAAAGATACATTATCGATTTTTACAGGCTTCAGACTAACACAGAGAATAAACTCTGCAAGGATGTACTTATTTTGTGCCCTACAGACACAAAAAACCAAACTACTTTCCCAAGACTCAAGAAACTCACCAGTATCTTGTTAAAGGTTAACTGATCATGGCTCATCTACTGGGTATTTTGGGGTTTTTTTTTGTATTTTTTGGAAAGAAAATTAATTTCTCCTATCACTTCCTTCTTTTCAGAGATGCTTTATCCTCCCATCCTACCTTTTTCTTCCTTCAAGATGACAGTAAATGTTTTTTTTTTTTGCTGTTGCATTGTTCTTCCATACTGTTCCAACTGATTTTCCATTATTGAACAAATACCAATGACACAATACTGATAATGTTGTTGTCACAAACAGATACAGCCAAAGAATCAGAGATTGCTACTGGACAGTGGTAAGACACTAGACCATTACTTCTCCAACACATCTGCTGGCTCCCACTGTGCCTACTAGAGAGGTTATTTCATCCAGACCCCTAGGAACTGCTTGTCATCAGACCCCCTTCAGATTTATTGACTTACCTGCATGGGCGATCACTCCTTGACTTCAATTAAATGAGAAGGGCTAACAAAAAGCTATTAAACTCACTGCCAACAGTACGGTTCAGTAACAGTCTTACAACAGGCTCATCTAGCAGACCCATGGGGGAAAGAACTTCTAGCAGAGCTGAGGAGCAGCAGCAGTTGGTCACAGCAACCACTTCAGCTCAAACAAGTGCACTCGCAGAAGGGCCCTTGCCTGCAGGTCAGCTTTCTCCTGCTGACGATCCTTCACTTCGGCTACTTGTTTCCTCCAGCCTGTCCTCCACTAATCCCGCTCCCCTGGGCCTTCACATTAGCTGCCATGCTCAGGGTACAAGAGCCATAGAAATGATCTCTATTTCCATTTTAATGAGTGCACGGCTGTGAACCGCCAGAAGAGAAATCTACGCACCCAGCTTTCTGAAATGCTGTAACAGTCAAACACCACACAATTACAGACAAACTCCCAGGAAAGAACAACGAGGTCTTCTTCAATTTTATAGTGTCCAAAGTTAACTTTGCCTTACTATTTACCAGAATTATTATTGGAAAATTTGAGAATGCAAAATTTTACTAGCAAAATGACTTAAAAGTCCAACACCCATATAAAGAAAAACATCCAAATAAATGTGTAAGTTGAATAGAGTGTCTAAGGAATGTTGCTACATTAATCAGTGTTTCTTGGTCCAGCTCAAGAGAAAAACCCAACAAACTCATTTGGATTAGAAAAGAAAATCCTATGTATACAAGTTAGAGGTAATGAATTCAAAAACTGACTCAATTAAGCAACAGTTAACTAACAGTTTGACAGGTCTAAAATTAACATGAGCAAGATGAAAGGACATAATTAACAGAAGACCACAGCTACCAGCTACAATAAGAGTGAAAAAGGAATTGCAACTATAATTAAGGGCAGTGTCTTGCTTCATCTCTTTCTACAGGGAAACCATGAACACATATTCTTATAGGTGGTAATTTACATATGTCAAATCTATGGGTTGATGTAGCACACGAAAACTCTACGATTTTTTTTTTTTTCATAGGCTTATTCACACAAGCACTGGACAAGCACATAGAAAAGAAGATTATTCTCGAACACAATGGGTGTCATAAAGGTTAGATGAAGGATATCTTACATAACCCAGGATTTATTATGCTCTCAGATTTTCCTACAACGGAACAGTTTTTGACCAGGGTCAAAAATCTTTCTAAGAAGAGTAAAGAATGTTCTTTCCAGGTGGAAGGTCCCAACCAAAAACCTTGCAGTTAAGAGGTACTGAAAAATTTTCACTGACAGCTGACGTGAATTTTAGACAATTAAAATATATCAGACCAACCCTCCAGGCCTAACAAACAATACAAAAATTCTACTGCAGATATACAAGGAGACTATTACAAATGAATACACAAATAGTGGTGTTAACCATAAGAATGGGTCTTCTGCTCCGCAGCTTCTGGCAGCCACAACGAAATCTTCCGCAGCTGTGAGAATGATGTTTAATTCAGTATTTCAGCATGCCACCAGCAAACATTTAAGAATTCTACTTCTCTTGCGTTCAACGGGAGTTTCAACAGGAAAAGAAAATCTGCCATATCACAGAACAGCAGCCATCTTCAAGGACTTCTCACATAGAGGGAGGGACACGCGCATACAGACACGCGCACAGTCACATCTGCCCGTCTTCTAGAGCTAGATCAGAGCCCTATTCTTAATATACTTCATTTATATTTGAATCTCAACTATATGAAGAGAAAGTCCTCTGTGGTTATCCAGCCAGCGACTAGTCAGCATGAGCTCGTTCAGGGACCTGTGAGACCTACAAACCACCTTACCGCAGGAGACTCACATGTGCACTGCCATAGACTAACTGACAAAATGAAGATGACACTTGCTATACCATGAAAACATCACAGAATTTAATGGACCCTCTAGGATAAAATTTTCTCCATACCTGGCTTTTTTGTTATTTTTCCCAGCTGTACTACTAAAACACCTAACAATAACCTTAAATGCCTAGGAAGGAAACTTATGCATAGAGCCTGACTTCAGCAAAATCAACGCAAGCAAGGGTTAATGCAGTTTAAGCACACATAGGTTTAACTAGATAGCTTTACCTAGTCAAAGTGATGTAGCTTTATGGACACTGATAATCCCCAACATGTCCAGCGAAGATCAGTATGAGCAGCTCAGCTATGGAGAACTGCTTGCACGCTTACGTTTAAGATTTTAGTCAGGTTCCCTTATTTTAGAGGGAACCACAATACTGGTGCTCATGTCCCACTCCCAATTGCAGTTCTGCACAACTGTAGTCAAAGGCCGGTTCAGCATGACCTAAGGAATCTTTAACAAAACCAGGCTTTTCCAGTCTTCTTTGGGCTTTCTCAATAAAATGCCTCAGTTATCATAACCAGTTCTAAACTGATAACAGTAACTGTATTTCTCTATGTTTTTAACCAGTTTTTACTTTCTTCCTTAATTATGTAACTGACATCAGAAACAGGGGGGAAAAAAAAAAAAAAAGACATTACTTTGATTAAAAGTACTTCCAGACTAAAAATATTTTCAGATTATGTTGCAGAAGAGAAAGGGCAAGTTTGACACCGTAAATTTAAGGAAAATTACGAATATTTGATACTAACACACAGAAGTCTAATAGATAACTGTGTGCCCCTAAAAATGTGTGTTGAATATATTTTAATATTCTAATGAACTTAAATGGATATTAGTTTAGGAACTGTTTGATTAATCAAATATTTAGGAACATTTCACAATGCTTGTCTGTTGTTTCAAAAAAAAAAAAAAGAAAAAAGCTTCCATTTTCATAACTTTGAAATTTGCTTAGTTATCTTAAAATTATTTCTAAAAGATGAGCAAAGACAGCTTTAAGAAAAAAAGAAATCTTCAAAAGCTTGTACAACCATGTTCTTCATAGTGTAGCATATCAGATTTTCTGATCAAAGAAATCAAATACAGTTAAGGAAAGTAACATATGTTTTAACATCTCACCTGTATTAAATAAGACAAAAGAAGTGCTGATAATTGACTGCATGTTTATCAGCCTTTTATAAAACACTACTCAAAAGACACACCTCTTTGTTCATCAAAGACACTCAACTGCAAACACAGCTCACAAACGTATGCCAAACAATATAGTGTACAAATATTTGAGGAAATACCTACTGTCGTGAAAGGGCAAAGTTCCTAAAGTATACGAACAGAACTTCTTTAGAGTGCTCTCTCCAACATTAAAACATAACTGAATTTTTAGGTAGAGTATTTTGCGATGGAGGCAGTGAAAGGGAAAAATGTTCTTGAAGAGGAAGCCATAGAACACGGCAGAAAATAAAAATATACATTGAATAACCAAGCTTCATCCTGAACTAAAAATACCATGAAACCACACCAGGAATATGTTTGCAAATCTCTGGACATTAGAAACACCAGTGAAACAGTCTCATTTTAGTATTCCTTTTTCCAGGGTTTGGAGTTTGGCAAAATTAAGCTACAATTTTTTGCTGGACTACACATACAGCAAATTTTAAAAACATTTACACAGTTTCAACATGAACTTAGGGCCATTTACACAGGTTCACAGGGCAAACGAATACAGATCCACCCTCTTGCAAGAGTGCACTTAATCCCAGTTGCACCCTTAAACAATAAAATGTAATTAGCTGTGCTGCTTTCATGAAAGGGTTCTTTATTAGAGATGCGGTTAAGTGTCATAATAAGCTGAAAAACAAACCAGCCCTGTTTCAGACGCATTCGATTTCAGAAAACTGATATTAAAAATATAGTTTTATAATTTTTCCTGTATGATAGTTTTCCAGTAGTGAGTTGATCTGTAGATTGAGTTACGTAAATAAGAAAAGCAACATACTTTTTTTTCCAGGATGATCTTTGTGCTTTTGACAGATTCTTTACCTTGCCACATAAATGCTTTGCATTCAAAACATTTACAGTCTCTCTGCCTTGCTGCAATAAAAGAGATTTTCAATTATTTTTTAATTGCAGAAAAGCTAAATGAAGTGTGCAGTGCTCAAGCAATTTGGCTTTCTTATTACAAAACACAAGGGGGATCCTGATTGCACTCCACATATTGCAATGAATAATTTCTTTCCCTTTGTTAGGGTCTGGAACAATCAACATTTTTTAAACTTGATTTTTAAACACAACAACATATACGTAATTCAAACCATTTTTTTTAAAAAAAATTGCATGTTTTTCCTTCTATTTTTGAGTAAGTCAAGTTTGCTAATTTCCTTTTATATTCAGGGCTCTTTGCAGAATTTATTGCAGGTTAGCTGAATGTGGTTTCCCCCCCCCCAGCATTAATACTACAGTGGCAAGTAACTACAGTAATACTATAGTAACTTTTGTTACTGTTGTTAATGGTTGTTTTGTAATATATTCAGTGAAGATTTGCTGTATTATTTGCAGATCATTTAAATTTTAAGGATCTCAAAATAATTATCAGAAATCTCCTCTATAAAGAGCAACCCAAGCTTACTTTCACTGTCGCTTCTGGTTCGGAATAGGGAAAACATCAGCATGTTCACAGCATAGAACTAGGACCAGACTCACGAGCTGCAAAGCAATCACCAGAAGTCACCTTTGTCAGAGGCAATCCTAAGACACCTGCACACCTCCTGCCACCCCCCAGTCAGCCTGCTGAAGAAAAAGCATACTGAACAGGTCTCCCTGAGGAAGTGAGTTTCCTCAGAACTTTATTATCTGTTTTTAAGTACCTTTAAGTTCTTTCTAAGGAGCGACAGTCCACCTGTCTCTTGTAATGGCACTTCCACAGCAAAGTATATGCAGGGTAAGAAAAAGGTTTTCACTAAGTGTGAATCTCGAGCAAGAAGGAATGCACAATACCAGGGGTCTGGGCTAGGCTTCTGCTGAAACTGGCCTTGATTAAACAAAACGGACTAAAAAAAAAGTTACAGAACTTGGAAGAATTTGTGGCAGTTAGCCACACTGTAGAGCTCGTAACAAAATACAGGACCTTTCCATCCTGAGTTTCACGGTATTTTGTGGACTTCTATGTTTGATAGAAGAAGGTTTCTTTAGTTTCTTCAGTATCCATTGCAAATTTATTTGCAGAGTGGACACTAATACTTGTCAGGTCTTTAATGCTTGCTCGCGTTAAAATTACAATATGGAACTCAAAGAAACTTTTAATTATCTTAAGAGCAATAACAAATGCTGCAGGAACTAAACTGAAGCAGCACCGTGAATATTAAGCTGAATTTCCAAAATTGTACTCTAATATTGTGGGCTGGAAACAGATGTTCCCTAACGGAAGGTTTTAGTATTTGCCCCTGGAAAAAATCCATTCTTCTCTTCAACAGATTAATAACAGAATACAGAATGATGGTATTTTGCTTAGGCATTCCAATTGAAACCTTCCCCCTAAAAATTGCACCCAGATCATGTTAAACTCATCCTAAAAATAAACATAGGACTAGACACAAGATGCTGTTGGGAGAACGTAGCTTCTTCAACCTCAAGATGATGTTCCAAAAGGTTTGGAATGACGAAAACATCCTGAGAATGGCAAAGACCTTTTAGATGCAGATTTATTAATATATTAAGGATAACTTTAAACTAGAACTGGGGCAAGTCTGTAGGTCAGTATAAAACTGTGATGATCTTGGCAATGTTCTGCTTGTTCCTAATCTTCTGGGGCCCTTTATGTTACACATCATATGGAACAAATGTTGGGTTAGGTTTTTTGTTTTGTTTTGTTTTTTTCCCCTTACTGTGTCAGTATTTTCATATACTACTTGAAAATAGGAATGAAACACCAGTATCCCAAAGCTTTTTAACAAAGTAATTATCTAGATGCCCACTGGTCTCACTTTGAGAATCACTATACAATTCTACTGCTTTACAGTTGTTCTCTCTTAAGCTACAATGGAGTAGCAGTACTCAATGCTATAATTCCACAGATGAAAACTGTTCTCAGGCTGTGTGATCACACCTCCTAATCTCACCTCAGACCTCCAATTTTTCTTAAATACCTTCAGCTTTTCCCAAGTTTTTAGAAGCCTACACTCTAAGTTTTATAAATACCTGATATAAATCATGTTTCACACCAAGAAGTGGAATCTTCATATTTTCTGAAGTGGAAAAGACTTCTAAGCTATCATTATTTTCAGGTTAAGATGATCCATAACACTGACAAACTCATCATAACAATTCTTGTGAAAGTTTGTGAAGGGTATTAAATGCCATTCTGTACTTGACTAGTCAGTAGTATGATGCTGACCAAATTTTCAGGTCTCTGGATGGAGCACATTATTGTCTGCATGGAGTAGAATGCCTGCAGAGGATTAGTACAGTGACCAAGCTATTCTTCCAGATTAAAACAAAAAAGTAAACCAAGAATTGCCCTATTAGAAACCCTGAGATCTTGGTAGCTGGAGACAACAGCAGTGCTTCCTGCAATATGCAAGTAAAGCTGAACTCAGTTCAACTGAAGGACTCCTTCAATCTTCGTAATCGTCTAACATTCTCATCTCCACTTTATAAATCGTGAGCTAACATGTTTCTTACTAATGCGCTTCATATTGCCTGTTCCTCATGTAGACCACTCCTACTCTTCAGCACTTCCTGGATGGCCAGAAATGGAGAAAGGCATAGAGATGATATGACACGCACCACGTAAGAGCAACTAGGACTAAGACTGAAACAGAGCCATGATAACCCACAACATCGAGAGAGGAAACAGGCTGGTAGGAGTTAAGTGAAAAACGGTACCGATCCGGACCTGCATGAAGAAAGGTGGACAGAATTCCAATTTCCTAGGAACACGTGACGCTGTGCTCTGTCTTTTACTCTGTTCTTTACTCTTTTTGTAAAAGTTTGGCGTTTGTGACGAACACAGCATCTGGGACTTAAGTCTTTGATTCTACATGGAATGCCACAGTTCTGGAAGACCAGGATCTTCTGTCCTCAAATGGTTAAATGCTAGAAGGAACGAGTGCCATCTACTGGCTCCCAGTTTGCCTTAGAGATTATCATAGCCAAATTAATAACCACTGATGACCTGGGTTTACAAGATGTGCTAAATCTTATGTGATATAGTTGCAGGCATAAGCTTCATACTCGTCCTTTTGTATCCAACTTGTCCTTGGTTTCAAAGACGTGTTTGAAGCTCCACATGAAAGAGCTCCAAAGACAACCATTTACATTTTTATCATGTACCAATGACAGATTTTGACTACCAATGATCTGATGTAGTTCATGTCCGCTGGTAGACACGATACATTATACTAACACAAAAAAGCAACTAACAGTCAATTTTTCCTTGCAGTGTGCATGTCTAATGCCAGCAAAAACCAATCTCTCTTACTTTGTTTGTCTTTTACCTAAGAAAACAGCTGATCTCTCCAGTTTTTGAAATGTTTGCAGAGATTTTTGTGTACATTTTCAGCTGGTTTACGCTCTACGGCACAAGCCATTTTAACTGACTGCAGGGCTGGAAAAGAGAAAGATGTGAATAAGCTCCTTCTACTATCATCATTAATCTGTACCTACCTTGTTTTCTTGTTGGTAGCAGAGGATGATATCAAACATGTACATCTTTCAGCCTGAGCTAACCACTATTTCCCCAAATATAAACCGGCCACAGACCTCTACGATCTCGTTGCCTATTTTTGATCTAAGAAATGCTTGAATGACTCGAAGTTACAAAGTCATAACAGAATTCATCACAGGATTCATACAAAGCTTTCTGGTCACCTGTTACTTTTATAGCTTCACGGTTAGTCAATTAACCTATCTTCTATCAGCATTCTCAAAATGCTAAGGGCTACAAAACTGGGGGAAACAACCACAAAGGAAGTTTGAATGATACACAACTAATTCCTTACAAAACACAAAATATTCAGCAATTGGTTCAAGCACAAGGTTTCCCAATTTTATAAGGCACAGATATGATGTTGTGAAACAATCACAGATAAACATCAAAGGCTTAGTCAATAAGTAGTTGCAGGTCCTTCCATTCCAAAATTCTGGGGTTTTTGCCCCACACTGAAATATAGGGCAAACTTTCTTAATGCTAAAAAAAAGTTAATATTAAGCACTGGAGACAAGTCTATGTAAACCCTACCAAAAATTGAAAACAGTAATTCAGAAATAGTTGAGAACACTGCTTAAAAAGGTAAATGTTTTTTTTGTGGCAGCTGAGAAGTCTTCAAGAAAACACAGGACACACTAAAAGAGAAAAAAGTTATTTTAATGTTATGAAAACACTATGGAAAAAACCCAAACTCTGTGAGCGGCAGAGTAGGAAGGGAGAGTAGTAAGCAGCCCAAACGTGCTGATACCGGTTTGGAAAGCACTCCCGCTGTAGCTGGGCAAACGGCAGAGAGACCTTTGCAGGCACATGGAATCAGCTCAAACCCGGTCCCCTGCTGCACCGGGGCAGCCTGACCACGGAGCGGGACAGCGCTACCGCCCAGGTGCCCTCCAGGAACCGGGCGGAATGGTGGCGGGAAGCTCGGTGAACGGGAAACCTACACCTGGATCCAGAGAAAACGGCCAGCCCGCGGGCGGCAGAGCCGCCAGGGAACGCGCCCCGTGGGCCCAGGCCCAGCAGCAAGGGCAGTTTCCGCCGCGCCCCGCCGGGCGGGACCGA